TGTGAGGCTTGTGGCTTGATCACCGAGCCGGTTGGCTGGGAAGAAAAAGCTTCAGGCACTAGCGTTTCGGTTACCTTTAAAGAGCCCAATACCTGCGACGAAGTGCTCGCAATTCCGAGCTCGTGGAAGGACGAGGCCTACAGAGTTGCTTCTGGGGAGGCCAACCTGGTTGTCTTGGAACTCTGTTGCGAAGAGGAAAGCGCGATAGCCCAAGCTTGTAAGCAGGAACGTGACATCGCGTACTTTGGAATCACCAAGAAGCTAGACTTGCTGAGTAGAGAAGCTTCTTTGTTACTAAAAGGGATTCTGGAGAAGATGGCTTCTAACGAAAGAATCTACGTGTATGCACATTTGTCTACGCCGTGCAGCGCAGGTAGTGGCCTTAGGCACCTGCGTTTCTCAAAGGACGTGAAGAACCGAGCGAGATGGAGAGCTAGTCTGGAGGTACACAAGAAGTCTTGGAGACGCATACGAGCAGTTTTCCAGGACTATGCTGGCCACGAGAGGCTCAGCAAAAAGACTGGGACTCGAGCACGAGTGTTTGGTAGACCGGTGCTGTTTCGAGGAAGCCGGCAACCGTGTCCTGAAGCATTGGTGGTTCGTCAGTTCGGATTCAAGTTTTATCTGGACTTCATCCTCTTGTGTTTGCCCAGGCAACCACGAGCACGCGAGTGCTACTAGCGTGGCAGCGACAGGTGTCTATCCGCAGGGCTTAGGCCGCTTCCTGGTGAAAGAAGCCAGGAGAAGTTTCGAAAGACGAAAGAAGGACTGACCGCGCAATAGGCATGAGGGGGTGTGAAAATATGACATTATTGGCTCAAGCTTTCGGCTCAACCCCGGTGGGGTGCCTTTGGTAGGGAGTTGGTAGCTGTCAACGAGCCTCGGGGCCCAAATCTGCGTGGGGGAACAGGCCCTTGGTCCAATCCCAGCTTGACCAACTTGTGCCATGGCTGAGCTTAGGGTGTTCGCCTCCCTTTTGTCTCCACAGTCAGGAACCGCTGCTCACCGTCGGGGGTTCGCCTCCGTTGCAAGGGTGCATTGCATCCTAGGCCAGTCCCAGCCGGCGGGACGCAAGTTCCGGAGCGGGTGGCAATCTCTCGGGGGGGCTCACCTCCAGGAAAGCTTGAGTTTGAATAAGCACCAGCGCTTGGTGCCCCTAAACTAACTGCTTTTTCCCCAAAGTTTTGCTTTGTTTTCCTTTGCCACTTTGCACTGCTTGCAGTCATGCATGCCGCTGCATTCCTGAGATCATGCCGCCCACTGGCAGGAGAGCAGATGGGGGCAAGGTCTTCGCCAATGGTCACTTTTGGTTGTCTCTTGGGTTTAGGACATGCTTGGCGCTGGCAAGTTTGGTGGCAAGCGTGGGGACCATCCTGTGTGGTTGAGGCTCCTTAGGGGGGTCCCTTGGCTTCTTTGGGAGGGTTTAGGGTGTTGTTGAGGTTACCTATGTGTGGGCCACAAGTGTGCTGCCACCTCTGGCTATACCAGTACCATAATTACTGAAATTTTGTGCATCAACTCAGGCGCTATGCACTCTGGACATGCAGGAAGCACTCATCTCTCCAGCCTCTGGGAGGATCTTCCTCAGCGCCCAGGTCCTCCACTAAAGGGCCATGCAGTTACGTCCTTGAGTTGGGGGGCCAGCCCTGCCACCTGTGCAGGGTTTTGGAACAAGTGCAGGAGTTGCTACGGGCTCTTGCCTCCCTATCGCTTGGCGTTGGCAGAACCAAGTGTGGGATCCTCCTCTTACTTGTTGTTTTTATAGTTTCGGGCATGCAGGTACCCAGGAGTGTCCAGACCGTGAGTCCTGCCTGTGCTGCAAGCCAAGCCAACAGTGGGTGTGTTTCATGGCTGGTGCGGCGTGGTTCCCGCGCTTGTTGAGGGGAGCGTCGACACCTGCGCGTGTGGAGGGGTGCGTTTGCCCTCGCGCTTAGTTTGAGGGCTTAGCACCGGCCTTGACGCGCAGTCACCTAGGTTTGGATCTTGCAGTTGCCCAGGGTGGTTGGTTGGGTTTAAGGTCACCTTTGAGAGCGTATACCGGCCCACTTCGCCGGGGGCCTTTCCCAGCCACAGTGCAAAGGCAGTGCGCGCTTCTCTGTCTTCGCGCAGACCCATTCATTACAGTCCAGGCACCATTTTCTGTCCTTTTACTGCCAAACAAGTCGTTCCTGCTATTTTGGGGTTTAGGATGACACGCTGAGCCCCAAATAGCAACATGATGTTGCTGGTATAGGAATTCGCCAAGATTTTTGGCCAAATTTCCTTTTCTGCACAAAATCATTGAAGTTGGCCCGCCAGCATCAAAGATCTTCGACATCGAGTCGAGCGTGCATTGCAGGGCCAAATAGCAACATTACGTTGCTGGTATAGGAAATCGCCAAGGCTTTTTTGGTCAAATTTCCTTTTCTGCACAAAATCATTGAATTTGGCCCGCCCGCACCAAAGATCTTCACCATCGAGTCGAACGTACATTGCAGGGCCTGGACGCTGGCTTTTCCTCCCCGGCTGGAGGTAAGTTTGGCCAACATGTGGCCTTGATGGCCACTCTGCTGCCCGTGGCATGCACGCGAGGGCAGTACTTCCACTCCTTTCCCCGTCTTTGGGGTGGTTTTCCCTCCCCGTTTGGAGGTAATTTTGGCAGACAGGGGGCCTTTATGGCCACTCTGCTGCCTGTGTTCAAGAATGCAAGGGCAGTGCGCCGCTCCACTGCCCGTCAATGGGGTGGATTTTGGTTGGTAGAGGTAGCCGAGTGCCCAGAGCTGCTGCGGCATGGGTGCTCTGGCCCCTGTTAGTAAGAGCGAGAACGCAGGGGCCACCTCGTTGCAGCAGGGTTTTGGGGCGTCGTTCCCAGCGCCTCCATAGTCGATGGGAAAGCGTCGCTCCCTGCGCCTACAATTGGGGGGAGTGCGTGGTCCCCGCGCTTAACTACAAATTGAGGGGACAAAACCCTGCTGCGCCAGTTAACGTCCAGCCCAGAGAAGGTGAGCTGAAGGCCCCCCGCCCCCAGGCCTTGGGGGTTCTCCTCCCTGCCAAGTGCATTGGGGCGGGGCAGCAACACAGGAGGCCTAGCCCTGTATAGTGCAGTTCCAAGTTGAAGAAGACGCTGGGGGTTGACCATTCAGAGTCCCTCCATTTGATGGCATAGGTCCTGTAGCCTGTAGTGACCAAGGCTTTCTTTTCTCACCTCATTTTTCCTGTGGGATTTTGGGCTCAGCACCGGCCTGGAAAGCGCCCGGGTAAGCAGTGCCGTAGGCAAGCACGCCTAGTCACAACGACTGTGGGTGTGTAGGCTGTAGGTGTCAAAACCCTTTTCCCCCAGGCCTGGCTCAAGGTAGCCGCCCGGGTTTCTTAGGATTGCCGTTTCGGCGGCCGCGCTTCGCGCTTCGAGAAGAAAATATGACATTAGCAGCTAGCTACATCAAGCGGCCCACCTCGCCTCGGCACTTCCTCCCTCCGGAGCTCACACTTACGTGGGACCCGATTCGGCAGGTTGTGGTGGAAGCCCGAGTTCTCACGCGCCTGGGCTGGGGACAAAGCCGTGTAGGCTACCAGCTGTCTCAGGCGTTGGTCTTGAAGCTCACGGATGATGCATCCTTAAACGGTCCGGAGATCGATATGGCGCGGCGTTTTCCCCGGCTCATGGCTCCCATCCTCACCAGTGGCTCCATGTGGATTGGACTAGGACCTGAAGGTGAGCCAGGTGCGGGCCTGCATCGTTTCCTGTACCACGTGCAAGAGCATCGCTGCCAGGCCCGTGAGTGGCTCCAGGAAAATGCTGCCAATGGTCTCCGTGTTCACTCCTACCTTCTGGCCACGTTGGCCACCTTGTTGCACTTGTATGCCTGTGGGGTTGATGCCAAGGATGTTGGCATTTCAAACCTGAGCCACTGGCCGCTGGGCACGAGGATGGTTCCCCTTCCGGCCTTCATCGATGCCAACAACTGGGGCCCCTCCCAAGGGAGGCCGGAATGGACTGGCTTTTGGAGGGTAGTTGCCAAATACTGCCCTAATGATGTGGGCTACTTTCGGCAAGTTTCCAGGGGTCCACCTCAAGCGTGTTTTGACCAAATCTGCAACACCCTTGGACCTTTGGGGGAAGAAGTTCGCTGGTGCACCACCCCGGCCTAGGAGGCTGTGGAAACAGGGCTGCTTCTCTGGGGGCATCCTTTCCCAGCCTTTGGGCTGCGGTCGCAACTTCTTCCTGATGAGTAGCTGTAACATAGTTCCCTGTAGATGGCTTGTGGGTGCACCACATTCCCAGCTTGTGAGCTGTGGTTTTGCCGTAGCAGGGTGACCGACTGCCCGAGAGACTATGTCTCGCCCCAAAGGGGCTCCGGGCGAATTCGTTTGCATGAAGGACACCCACTGGGTAACGCTCTCGCGCTTGCTGAAGAAAATATGACATTGGCTCAAGTTTCTGCTCAAACCCCGGTGGGGTAGGCGAAGTAGCTGAGCGAGTAGCTGTGAACCTGGGTTCTGGGCCTCAACTGGGTTAAGGTACCAGGCCCCCCTTTGTTTCGGCCTATTCGCTTGAGCCATACTGTGCCTGAGCACCCACCCGGCCTCTGGGCTGTGGCTGCATAGCACTCACCCAGCCTCAGGGCTGCGGCTGCATTGCACTCACCCAGCCTCAGGGCTCGGGCCTGTTTTCTCCCGGCCTTAGGGCTGTGGTCCTCCAAACCCACGGCGGGAAGAGAGCGATCCCGCACCCCTGAGGTGCAGCGCTTTGGGGTAGCCGAGAGGGTGCCCTTGGAGGACTCGATCAGGTCCTATCTGCAAGCCGAGTTTGAGGAACAGCCCAGTGCCCGAGACCTCACACCGGGGCAGAGGGTAACAAACCAACTCCGTGCTTTGGCTCGTTGGTCCAAGACCCGGAACGATTGGATTGCCGACGCCGGGAAACTTTTGTCGGAGGCTCGCCGGCAGAGGTGGTGTGCCGAACTCAACAAGTCCAACATCTGAGCCCAGCCTTTAGGGCTCGGGGCCTCTTCGCAGTCACCATGGCTGGAGGACGGTATCACGTTTGCAAGAAGTGTGGCCCGGCCAGCTGGATCTTCGCGGCAAAGGTGCCCAAGTTCCCCAAGTGTCAGTGGTGCGGAACTAAGTGGCCAACGGATGTGCCCAACCCCAAGACCTGGTCCAAGCCGGAGCCGAAACCCCGACCTCGCAAGCCCAAGACCAACAAGGTTCATGACTGCTTGCGGAAGGTATGGGATACTCTTCCTGAAGAGGCCTGTGTGCAGCTGAAAGAAGCAGGGTTTGAAGCCAAGCCGGCTCGCACAGAGGATGTGGATCTTGTTGCTCTCCTGCAGCAGCATGTCGGAGACCTTCCCCAGGTCATCGTGGACGCCCTGCCGGCTACCCCAACCCCGGACCCTCGCCAGGAGGGAAAAGAGGCTGGGGATGTTCTTCGCAGTTCGGTTGGCAAGCTCCGTGATCTGGGCCAGAGGAAACTGAGACTGCAGGAGGAGATCGACACAGCCAAGGACAACTTGCGAGCAATGCTTCACAAGATGCAAGACATCCAGAATGCCATCGAGGAGGCAAAGGTGGAAGTCGCGAAGACCACCAAGGAATATGAAGACAAGGTGGTCAAGCATTGCGCGGAGGAGGTGAACAATGGAGAATCTGTCCTGCAGGCTTTGGGCATGCAAGAGGCCAGCCTTACCGAAGAGCAAAAGCGGAAGCTGGAAGCTCTGAAGTCCGATGAAGCCAAGCGTAGACGCATGCAGGTCGATCCAGGCCTTCCCCCGGGTCTGCCACCCTCGCAAGCCTCGGTGATGCCTGACCTCGCGGCACGAGGCCGAAGCCGAACCCCGCCAGGGGGACCGGTGGGGGGCCAGGCCCCGGGCCAGGCATCGCAGACGGGTTAGGGAGCTGGGTTCGGGGCTTGTAGGGCGTTGGGGGTTTTGGATTCCAGGGATAACCTGTTTCCCCCGCACTTGTCAGAGTCGTCCCTCTCCCCGACAACCCGTGTTTTTCCCCTTGGCCAGAATTTTGTCACCTTGCCCGAGACGTTTTGCCAATCCCCTTCCCAGGCAGATGTCTTCAGCCTTAGCTGTTGTGAGGTCTGCAGGTGTCAGGCCGGGGAGGACCCGTGCCACACCCTTTTCCAGGTAGGGGATGGTCTCGCGCTTGCAGTTTTGTGTCGGCTGTGCCGAGGATGGGCTTCCCATGAATGTGCCGTGGTGCCTGAGTGTCAGAGTTGCCTGGTGGAGCTTCCAAGATACACCCGGTCATCTAGACACGCGGTTCTGTGTGGCATGTGTCAGGGTATGCCCCTCCAGAAGGAGTGGGATTCAGGATTGGGGCAGGTTTCGCTTGGAGCGGAATGTGTACCAACCAAAGATCCCTCACCAGTCCCAATTTCTTTAGCAGCGCTATGCCAATATGAGGTGGTCCACCATCCCTTGGTGACGGGGCCGAGGTATTTTCCTCTGGAGGCTTTGTGCGACATGCAGTTGTATGAAACCCCCAGCACTTTTACTCCCCTCGTCTCAGGAGGTGGATCTCGACCCACAGGTACCCAGTCGTCTTGTCGCAGCAGAAGAACCCGACGACGTCACAACAGGACGGCCCGGCCTCTCAAGGCCAGGGAGCCTTTGGATTCAGCTATCGCAGCCTGGAACACGACAACTCAGCATGAAAAGACAGACAAGTGGGGCCAGTTAGCGGGTTTGGTGTCCCGGGGCTTTCAGCAGGGCTTTCTGTCGGTGGAGTCTAGCGTGGTAGGCCTTTTCGAAGATGACGAACCCACCGACTTGACTCTGGAGTATTTGGTGGTCCACAAAATGTTTCAGGCCCTTGCTTCCCCCAACCCGAGCCCAAGTGACTGGGTTTTTGTCCTTCGAGGTTCGGAGGATCTTTCTGCCAACTCTTACGAAGTTAAGCCAAGGAATCTCAAGGTCTGTTCGGCCAATGTCACCCGATGGCGTTCGAGTCACCGGAAATGGGCCCATACCTTGTCCCCGGACGTTCTTATGCTGCAAGAACTTCACCTTACCAAAGAGGACCTTAAGACTGAGACCCGACATTTGATGAATTTGGGGTTTGTGCTCTTTGGTGTTGCTAGCCCGAAAAGTGCAAAAGGCAACCCCCTAGGAGGAGTAGGGATTGCAGTCAAAAATCACTTGGGGCCCAGGATTCTAGTGACCTTCCACGCCTCGCAAGGCTGTGGTTATGTCATTGTGGCGTTGCGCTCCAAAGGGGTAGATTTCAATTGGATCTCCTTGTACCTGGAGAGTGGGACTGGCTTGGATAGCCCAGTAAATGATCTTATCCTGACCAGCCTTACCCAACATTTGTCCCTCCTTCAAGGCATGTGGGTGGTTGGTGGGGATTTTAACGTTCCGATTCAGGACTTCCTTAACTCCAGGTATGAAGAAAGGTGGCAGGGCCGGGTGGTTGGCAGTGGGTCTCCTACGGCGGGAGGGGACTCCGAGATTGACTTCTTCGTCGTCCACCCCAGTCTCCAGTCCCTGTCGACGGTCCGTGACACTCCTTTCAAGCCTCACGGACTTCTAACCTTGGACGTGCCAGTGCACTCCCTCCAGTTGAGAGTCCCCACCATCAGGTCGGTGGTGTCCCCGGCCCCCTCCTCCTTCCGCGCAAGCTCCCCAGTCCAGCTGGTCCAGATCTTGGATGTGGCGTCCCAGGAGGAGTCCTCTCTCGCCTTGGGCCAATGGTCCCGCGACCTTCAGTCGGAGGCCCAGGCCACCACAGGAAAGGGCTGGTGGGTCGACCTTCCCCGCAGGCCGTTGGCCTCGCCCCCAGTTGGCGGAGGTGCCTGGACAGGAGGGCCTATGGCTATCTGGGATAGATGGCGCACCTGGCTTCAGACAGGGATGGTCCCCAAGTCCTCAGAGGCCTTCGCCTCCATTCCTCCGGACGACCCCCTTCTTCCCGTCCTAAAGGACTGGGTTCATGCTGATGACCGCAGCAGCCTCACTCGGGAGTTGGTGCCCCAGGTTGAGACAAAATATAAGGAAGCTTTAGCCTCCCAGACCTCCCAGAACTCCGAGTCTTACTCCAAGTGGCTAGAAGAGGCGCAAAATGATCACCTCCGCCCCCTTTACCGCTCCCTTCGAGCTGATGAGCAAACCTTGGAACGGCCGTATCGTGAGTTCACTCCCCTGGCGCGGCCCTATAAACGGCTCGAATTTTGGTGCGAGGTCTGGCAGGGTAACCTGGTGTCGCCAGCTCCGCTCCAAGGGGAAGTATGGGATGCCTTGTTTGACTTAGCCCGGGAGCAGGTCCGTTCCCTGCCCAAGCATTCTGCTAGCTCTGTCGCTAAGATATGCGCCGCCAGGAATCCCAAAAAAGGAGGCCCGGACGGCTGGGATTTCAATGATCTTCGAGACCTGCCTCGGGACGCGTATGCAGTCCTAGCCAACGTCTTCAACAAAATGGAGGAGGACCTTGCCATTCCCCTCCAAGTTTCCCAGGTCCAGATTGTTCTTCTGGCCAAGAGTGCCTTGAAGGAAAGACCTATGGGTCTTACATCGGTCCTGTGGCGGCTTTGGTGTAAGACTCGGCGGTTCTTGGTCAGCCAGTGGCTGGACTCTTACATCCCGGATCATCCTTTTGACTCGGCGATTCCAGGCCGAACCTCGTTGGACGTTGCCCTGGCCAGGAAATGCTCCAAAGAGTCTGCCAGAGTCAAGGGTTTGCACACTGTCTCGTTGTTTGTTGACATTAATGGGTTTTACGATAGCGTCTCTTGGCAGAGGCTTTGCGAACAAGGCTTGCGGTTGTCTTTCCCAGCCTTGGCCCTGTGCCTCTCCCTTCGCCTCTACCAAGGAGGTCGCACGGTGGTGGGGGAATCCCAGCCCAGTCCCACCATCTTCCCAGGCCGGGGCATGATCCAGGGATGCCCGTACGCTCCCACCTTGGCCAAGCTCACCATGTCCGAACCCTTACATAGACTGAAACGAGTCACAGGCTTGCACCATTGCGACGTATGGTTGGACGATGTCTCCGCAGACTCCCTCCATGCCTCGCCGGATATAGCCGCGGGAGCGGCTTATGAAGCCTTTCGAGTGCTCAAGGCCAGTCTTCAGGCGGAAGGTCTCGTCCTCAGCCAAGAGAAAACAAAATTTGTGGCCGGAACACCCCGCTCGGCCGCGGCGCTGCGACAGCTGCTGCGGCCAGGGGACCCTGACATAGTCGACGTGGTCAAGGATTTAGGCCTTGACAGTGGCAGTGGCCGCCGGCGCAGGACTACTACTGCCCAGAAACGCTTCCGGGTAGGTAGCCTTCGTAACCTGAAGTTGGGTAAGCTTCGTATCCCGTCACGCCGCGTCCGGCTACGGTTGCACCGTTCTAGTGTGGTCACCTCAGGTCTTTATGGCCATGAAGCACAAGGGGTTGCCCCTAAACATATGAAAACCATGCGCGCAGCGGTAGCCCGACACGCAGGCAGGAGCCGATACGGTTCAACGGATACCATCCTAGATATGACGGCCCACGAGGTTCAGGATCCCTACCTTATTGTGGTAACCCAGCACGTGGAAAGTCTTTTCAGGATGATGGCCAGATGTAACCGCATGGGATGGGAGGCAGTAAAGGACACTTGGCGAGTGGTCTGGAAGCGGCTGGAGGCTGCGAAACACGGTTGGTCCGTGGTCACTGGACCCATCTCAGCCATGTGTCAATACCTCCGCGACCTCCAGGTCGACGGCCACGATCCTTCCCGCTGGGTTTTTGAGGAGCGTGTTCTGGAAATCAAGCCTTCTGAGGTTTCGGTTGCCTGCCAAACCTCGTCTTTCCTCACGGACATCATCAAGACCCAGAGGTCTCGTCGCATGGGATCGGCCTCGTCGGCAGCGGGTGCTGGTGGCGGGGTCGACTGGACGGTCCCGCGTCGCCTGCTCAAGTCAGTGCGCACCAAAACAACCCGGTACGCCTATCGGGCTGTTTTCCAAGGGTCCATTCTCCATAACGGCAATGGTGGCAAGGATGTCTGTAAGTTTTGTGGCGATTCCGGAGCCACCTTGCGCCACCTCATGTATGAGTGCCCTTCCTTCCCTGGTGGCATGCGGTTACCGGGGTACGTTCTGGCGGAGAAGCGCCGTTTCCCTGATGACTGCCTGTGGCTTCGGGGTATGCTTCCCCTTAAATACCTCCCAGTCGCTCCCTCGGGGGACCTAGAGGTGGTCAAGACAGGCGTGTTTCTCACGTCCTCCCAGGTAGTAGCAGACGGGTTGGTGGTTGCTACGGACGCGTCAGGGGGCATGTTCACCAAGGATCCGCGATTGCGAAGGGTGAGCTGGTCTGTAGTCGTGGGGCGGGTTCAAGATGGTCAGTTTCAGGAGTTAGGAACCATGTCCGGCCTCACCCCCCCCGGAACAAGCGTCGCGCACGGTGAATCTTATGCCATTGTGCAGACGATCAAACACACCCTTGGTCAGGTTGACCTTACGGGGGACTGTAAACCAGCCCTAAGGACCCTCACCAAAAAATTCTTTCAAAAAACAACCCCGGCTTTTTGGGGCCCGGTCTGGGAGGACCGTGGTAGGATAAGGCCCACTTGGGTAAAATCCCACCTAACTAGCCGTGAGTTCGAAATGCGGTTTGGCTTTTCCCAGCTTTGGAGACACCAGGCCAACCAGTGCGCTGACGAGTTGGCAGGCAAACGAGCTGCCACCATATCGCCTGTAGCAGGGCGGAAAGTCCAGGACCTGGATAGGCTCGTAACCAGGATCTGCGATTACCTGGCGTCGCGAGCTGTGGTTGTTTTGAAACATGCCTCAAAAGATGATTTTGTCCCCCGAAGCCAAAGGGAGGAACCCCAACCACCCAAAGGGCCTAACAAGCGCCAGCTTTTGTTGGCGAAAGTGGATGTCCCGGAAGCAGTAGGTGGTCATGTCTGGCAAGTAGGGGGGTTGAAAACAAACAATTTGGCAATCACTTGTGTGAAGTGTAAGCTTTACCTCCAGCAGGTTCATGAGATGGATAGGCTAGAACGTTTGCTTGCGCAGCCGTGCATTGACATGCCCCATAACGGTCCCCAGTTCTGGCCTACCCTCCACCCGACGCACCGGCTCAAAAATGAAGGACGTAGATGGCTGTGCTCCGGGTGCCATCTTACCCTCCTTCCAGGCCATTCTCAGCCTTGTTTAGGTCTCCAGAAACCCTGTAAAAAACTCCACAATAACCAAACCCTGTCCTTTCATGCCCAGGCCTCGGTTTCCACGCCTCCTGGGCGGCCGGACTCTCCAGGTTCTTCTTCAGCGCTAAAGGAAGCGGCTTCCCTTCCTAAGGCTGCAGCGTCGCACGTGTCTGAGGTGGGGCCTGGCAAAACAAAGGAAGCGGTTTCCCTTCCTGGGCAAGTGCACGCGAAGCCGGGCTTGCAAAGGAGCCTGCCCCGAAGCCGGCCAGCCGTGCCAAAAAGAAGAAAGAGCTTCCCTCCGGTCAGCAGACCCTTTGCTTCAAGAAGCAGTGATGGGGGGCTCACAGGGCAGGGGTCGTGGCCCCTTTTGGCGCGAGCAGCGCCAACGAATGGCAGAGGGGAAGTCGTGGCGCTCTACGGCGACCCTCCAGCATTCCAAGCGACGACCCCCACCCCACATCCGCAGGCAACAGCGCATAGACCAGGGCCTTCCTGTGGGTGATGACCAGCAGGAAGGGGCACCCCTCCCTGAGGAGGCGGCTCCTGGGGGTTCCAGCTCTTCGGCCCAGCCGGCGGCGAAGGCATGGCCGCCTCCCCCCCCTCCGGCTCCTCGGCGTGACCGTCGGCGCTCTCCTTCCCCTCGTTTGGTCTTGCGCTCAGTGGACAGAAGCCCTACCCCTCCCACCCCTCCGCTAAAAAGGAGGCCTCAGGTAGCAGGGTCCGGTGTGGATTTGCGTTCGGTTCCGCGTGATTCAACCCGTTCCCCTCCACCTGGGAGGCGGTCAGAGGAGGCTAGGTCCAGCCGTGACCTTCCCAACCAGCATGCACGGCCTAGATCCCCCTCAGAGTCCAGGGCCCGGCCCCCTGCACCCCTGAGGCTGAGGAGTCCCCCTGGGGCCGGCGGCAACGCGTGCGTAGAGAAGCTCAGGACTTTACTCCGGGTGTGCACGCGGCTGGTGAAGCAGCTAGCTACATCAAGCGGCCCACCTCGCCTCGGCACTTCCTCCCTCCAGAGCTCACACTTACGTGGGACCCGATTCGGCAGGTTGTGGTGGAAGCCCGAGTTCTCATGCGCCTGGGCTGGGGACAAAGCCGTGTAGGCTACCAGCTGTCTCAGGCGTTGGTCTTGAAGCTCACGGATGATGCATCCTTAAACGGTCCGGAGATCGATATGGCGCGGCGTTTTCCCCGGCTCATGGCTCCCATCCTCACCAGTGGCTCCATGTGGATTGGACTAGGACCTGAAGGTGAGTGCGGGCCTGCATCGTTTCCTGTACCACGTGCAAGAGCATCGCTGCCAGGCCCGTGAGTGGCTCCAGGAAAATGCTGCCAATGGTCTCCGTGTTCACTCCTACCTTCTGGCCACGTTGGCCACCTTGTTGCACTTGTATGCCTGTGGGGTTGATGCCAAGGATGTTGGCATTTCAAACCTGAGCCACAGGCCGCTGGGCACGAGGATGGTTCCCCTTCCGGCCTTCATCGATGCCAACAACTGGGGCCCCTCCCAAGGGAGGCCGGAATGGACTGGCTTTTGGAGGGTAGTTGCCAAATACTAATGATGTGGGCTACTTTCGGCAAGTTTCCAGGGGTCCACCTCAAGCGTGTTTTGACCTGATCTGCAACACCCTTGGACCTTTGGGGGAAGAGTTTCGCTGGCTGTGCACCACCCCGGCCTAGGAGGCTGTGGAAACAGGGCTGCTTCTCTGGGGGCATCCTTTCCCAGCCTTTGGGCTGCGGTCGCAACTTCTTCCTGATGAGTAGCTGTAACATAGTTCCCTGTAGATGGCCTGTGGGTGCACCACATTCCCAGCTTGTGAGCTGTGGTTTTGCCGTAGCAGGGTGACCGACTGCCCGAGAGACTATGTCTCGCCCCAAAGGGGCTCCGGGCGAATTCGTTTGCATGAAGGACACCCACTGGGTAACGCTCTCGCGCTTGCTGAAGAAAATATGACATTGGCTCAAGGTTTCGGCTCAACCCCGGTGGGGTGCACACAGTAGCTGAGCGAGTAGCTGTGAACCTGGGTTTCGGGCCTCAACTGTGTTAAGGTACTGGACCCCCTTGTTTTTGGCCTATTCGCCCGAGCCATATCGTGTCAGAGCTTTTACCCGGCCGTGGGGCTGTGGTTCTGCATTGCACCCTTCCTTGAGCTACTGGGCAAACCCCTCCAGCTGGGAGGTGGGCACCACATCCCCTCCAGGTGGGAGGTGGGCATCACTTCCCCTCCAGCTAGGAGGCGTAGTGCTCAGGCCTTCAGTGCTGTCGTGGCCGCCAGCCTTAGTTTGCCATAGTGGTGCCCTGTTTTCTTGATTTTACTTGTCTTGACGATTTGCTTGAATTGCTGTGCAACTTTCACCTAGTTTTGGCTGGTCTATCGTGCGGAAGCAGCTCTCCTGAAGGCGAACGGGCTGAGTTGTGACTAACCGCGCCGATCAGATTGGTCATACAACAATTGCCGCTTCAAAGCACCTTTGCAGGAAGGTTTGTCCTGTACTCTGTTGTGCCACTTCTATCCAGACCCCATCTGCCCCCGCCTCTTGGCTGTGGTGTAACTACCCCGCCCTTGAGGCTGTGGTTTGCACATCAGAAGTGGCCTTCTCAGGGCCTAGCTGGCAGTTTGAGGTATCGGCCGAAATCTGGCAAGCACTCCTCACAGGCTGGCCTACCCTCGTGTGGTGTCGTGAGGTCGGCCAGCCTGGGCTCTCATGGTCTTCGCTTCAGTGATTTGGGGTTCCTTGTGAGGCTTGTTGGCCCTGGTCCCATCCATTAGTCTCTGCAGGGACCATGGGGGTTGCGGTGCATCCTAAACCCGGGCCTCGCAAATTGTGTTGAGGCTGGCTTTTTTCCCCTAACCATGCAGGTGCCCCCAAGCAAGTGCCAGCAGAGTGTCTGGCACAGAGGGAGCTTGTGGTTCCTTGCTCGCCATTGGATTTTCGCCTTAATTAGATGGTTGCAGCGCGTTTCGTTCTCGGCCAGTTGCCCATGTGCGGAGGACGTTAAGCCTTTCGGTTAGGATGCGTTTGGTAATGGCCTCGTGTTGAGATGAGGCAAAAGTTTTTGGCCCTCTGCAGGGTTGTCTGGGGCTTCCCTGCAGGCCTATGCGCCGGCGGCAGAGAGTAGTCCTTTCCTCAGACCTTGTGACTGCTCCTGCCGCTGGTGCCCTGGGTTTAGGGCTGGTTTTAGGGTAGGTACTTGGCAGTGCTGTCTGCTCGCTGACGGTGGATGCAGCCGGCTGAGTCACTTTCCCTCCTTGCCTGGACTGCCTGCCTTCGCCCTACCGCCAGGTATGGGATCAGTGCACCATGGGGCTTTCCAGGCAGGCTCAGGACCTGTATCTCGTCTCCTCACTGGGCATATAATTGAAGGCTCGCGAGGTGCAGGCCAATTGTCACTCCTTCTTCTTCGCTGTGCGAGACTACAAGGGTGATGAGCCTTTTGGCATGTTGTCCGGATTCTGTCCTTTTTGTTCCGGTGTTTTCTCTTTTGGGGTTTAGGGTGTAGCGCAGAGGCCAAAAATGCAACATGCTGTTGCTGGCATAGGCTTTTGCCGAGGTTTTCTGCCCCAAATTCCCTTTTAGCACCTTGAGAAAAAGTTGGCCCGCTGGCACCAAAGATCATACGGGTCGGCGTTCCGTGGGGCCAGAGTCCTGATTTGGCCCTTCCCTTGAAACAGTCTGGGGTTTTGCAGGGGCAGTGGGTTCCCTTCCCTTGCTTGCAGCAGCCTGGGAAGGTCCCTTTACTGCGTGGGTCCATTTGGTCGTTTTGGCCCTTTCCCAGTGACCAGTCAGCAGGTCCCTGGGAGCAGTCTTCGGGGTTTCGAAATCTTTTCTTGCAGAAAGTTTAGCAGGGCGTTGTTCCCTGCGCCTGCACGTAGTTGGTTGAAGGGAAAGCGTCGCTCCCTGCGCCTGGTTGAGGGGAGTGCGTGGGCCCCGCGCTAAAGGTGCCAAATTGAGGGGCTGCTGCTTTGTGTAAGGTGAGGTAGAGGACCCCTTTGGCTGTTTGGGCGTGAGGCTAGGAAGTTCGTTGGCTGTGTCAACCCAGGCCTGAAGGCTGTGGCATCATTGCATGACAGTCGCTTGTGCTCCTGTGCGGGTGCTGTTATGCCATGGATTCCCAGCCTCGGGGCTGCGGTTTCGAGAATTCCTTCCTCTGATGAGATGGACACAGACTAGCTGCTGGGAGCAGGTCTTTTGCTTGGGCTATGGTCAGTACGATGAGAGGAGTAGGAAAAGCGAAGTGCTTTGTACAGCTGGCGACTCGGACGAGTGAAAGCCACAGTCCTCCATCTGACCTGTTCTACTAGCGGTCAGAGCCTCTTAACTGTGTCATAGGCGCCTGTAGGTAGTAGTGGGTGCACCACACTCCCACCTGTAAGATCCTTTGCGTGTAATTTTACACGTTCGCGAAATTTACACGCAAAAAACAGTGTAATTAATTTACACTCCAAAAAAACGTGTAAAAAATTTACACGTTTTCGTGTAAATTTGGGAGTGTAAATTTTGAGTAAAATTTGTCCTATGATGTTAAATGGGCCAAGATGTGCCGAAAAGGTGTTGTGAAAACCAGGCACCGGGAAGTGCGAAGTGTCGAAAAAGTAGTGTTGATTCCGAAGGCCGGACAGGCCGAAGTGGCGATAGGGTCGTAGATTCCGAGAGCTAGATTTGCCGACAGAGACAAAATGTACAGTTGTGAGTCTCGCAAGGCCGACCAAGCCGAAGTGCCCACGAGCATGGCTTGTCTTGTTCTGGTGAAAAAACAAACGAAAAAAAGAGAAAGAGAAAGAGCCAGAGAGCGAGAGAGCGAGGTATCGGGCAGGGCTAGGGTTCCCCTTTGTCGTTTCGTGTGACACCGAGTTATAGGGCAGGGGTATATATATAGGTCTTTCGCACTTGGCAGGATGCATGTTTATTATATATCCTAAACCACAGGAGCTCCTGAAATCAATTCGTGCTTGTGACTTGTGAATGATTTTGTCTGAGACAGTATCACCTACCCCCCGCCATACATCACTGCAGGGCCACTGGCCTGCGGCTTGTGAGGGAGCACAAGACCCTGCACCACTTAACTCCACTGGCAGATCGGGATACAGTTCCAGCCGGTAGCATTCGACCTTCTCTTCGTGCTGTGTTGACTGACACAGCTTGAGAGGCAGAGTGCCGGAAATCAGTAGCAGGTTTCCTTATGCAGGCTTTCCGGGGGCGATGGCCGGAAAGTGATTGTGGAGAAAGGTGCACACCCTTCAGGCATGGCGGATCCACCCTGGCCGAGTGGAGGTGAGACTTACACTGGTGTTTGCAAAGACCCCGTGGAGGCCACATCTAAACCCCCCGGGGTAGGCATTGTGGGAGGCCACTTGATTTTCATGATTAGAACTATAGGGCTGCCGGGCCGTGTGTCTTCTCAAGCCCGCCCCTGTCCCTTTCTTGGTGTTACACCGAGTTAGGGCAGGAGTGGGTCTCTCGCACTTAGCAGGACATCCTTTTGCATTTATATTACGAAAATAGTATGGATGTTTTTTTTTTTCTGGTTTAGGATATATATATATACATAATATATATGTCGGGTTGTCGATATATATATATATATGTATATATATATATATAGATAGGGTGTGATTGTGAGAAGAGCAGAACAAGTTCAATCCTGTATCGTTGATAGATGCACAGTGTGATTTGATGTGACCGCCCTGGATGGCCGGCTCCAGCTTTTCGTGGTCCTGGCAAACATTCTCGGGCTTTTGGTGGCAGGACGTCCGAGAGAGAGCGAGAGAGAGAGAGAGAGAGAGAGAGAGAGAGAGAGAGAGAGAGAGAGAGAGAGAGAGAGTGTGTTTGCTTTTCTGCTCACAAGACCGGATGCCAAAGCATGTTCACACATGTGCCTGTGTGTGGTTTGAAGCCGCCGGTGGCCCCGAAGCAGTGGCAAACAGTGTTGTGTTTGTCCGAGGGGTTGCGAAAGCACATGTTATATTATATATTGACAGGTTCACACACATGTGGTAGCAAGCAGCTTTACATGTTTTAGTTTGTATATCTTTGTATGTGGTAGCAAGCAGCTTTACATGCTTTAGTTTGTATATCTTTGTTGGTGCCCGCCTTGTCCCTTTCTTGGTGTTACACCGAGTTAGGGCAGGCATCTATGAGATGGTTTGCGAATGCATGTTGTTATAGACACAGAGGTTCACAGATTAAGTTGTAGATTTTGTTTGTGGGGCACCTTTTTTTATATATAGATCTAAATTCGAAGCTCCACACCATGGAGCCGGCCAGCGGCAGTGTCAAGAAGTTGGACAAGACGGCCCTTGAGGGGCTCGATGCCCGCACCGAGAGCACGAAAGTGCCGGAAAGTGCCCTGGAGTCCCTGGAGGACCCGCAGGACCCGCCTTCAGAGAATGAGACCTGCACATCCACGAAAAGGTCCCAGAGCAAGCCCGAACATGGACGGGGGCCCAAGCGAGAGGCCAAGCAGGCCAGGAAAGCATTGATCCACAAGGGCATCCTCTCCAAGGCAGAGGCCGACCAGCTTGATGCCCAGCAGATCCTCGCCCTGAAGAAGAAGTAC